ACCCCACCCCACCCCACCCCAACCCAAAAAGAAAAAAAACAAAATAAATATATATTTGTGTGTATAAAAAAAAACACAGGTGGTGGAGAACTGCTACGAGAGTTTATTGCTTCCGCCCGTGCGGCTGTGCACGAAAGACATCCCCACCCCCTACGCCCGCTCCCTGGAGGATGCTACCATCATCAGCAAAGAAGATGTAGTCAATGCCGCCTTGTGGATGCTTAGTGCTCCCTCTAAGTAATCCTGCTGCAGTTGCTGCTGCTGCTGCTGCTGCAGCAGCAGCAGCAGCAGATGGGACAGCAGCAGCAGCAGCAGCAGAAGGTGCGGCAGAAGCAGCAGAGAAAGAGGATAACATCATCAGCAAAGAAGATGTTGTCAATGCGGCCTTGTGGATGCTCAGTGCTCCCTCTAAGTAGTGGTGCTGCAGCAGCAGCAGCAGCAGCAGCAGCAGCAGATGGGGCAGCAGCAGCAGCAGCAGCAGCAGCAGCGGATGCGGCAGAAATAGCAGATAAAGAGGATACCATCATCAGCAAAGAAGATGTTGTCAATGCGGCCTTGTGGATGCTTAGTGCACCCTCCAAGTAATCCTGCTGCTGCAGCAGCAGCAGCAGCAGCAGCAGATGGGGCAGCAGCAGATGGGGCAGCAGCAGCAGCAGCAGCAGCAGCAGAAGGTGCGGCAGAAGCAGCAGAGAAAGAGGATAACATCATCAGCAAAGAAGATGTTGTCAATGCCGCCTTGTGGATGCTTAGTGCACCCTCTAAGTAGTAGTGCTGCAGCAGCAGCAGCAGCAGCAGATGGGGCAGCAGCAGCAGCAGCAGCAGCAGCAGAAGGTGCGGCAGAAACAGCAGAGAAAGAGGATAACATCATCAGCAAAGAAGATGTTGTCAATGCCGCCTTGTGGATGCTTAGTGCTCCCTCTAAGTAATCCTGCTGCTGCAGCAGCAGCAGCAGCAGCAGCAGATGGGGCAGCAGCAGCAGCAGATGGGGCGGAAGCAGCAGCAGAAGCAGCAGCAGAAGCAGCAGCAGCAGCAGAAGCAGCAGATGCGGCGGAATCATCAGCAAAGAAGATGTCGTTAATGCTGCCTTGTGGATGCTTACTGCTCCCTCCAAGTAATCTTGCTGCTGCAGTTCCTGCTGCTGCTGCTGCTGCAGCAGCAGCAGCAGATGGGGCGGAAGCAGCAGCAGCAGCAGCAGCAGCAGCAGTAGTAGATGCAGCAGATGCAGCAGCTGCTGCAAGATGCAATAAATGCAGCCGTTTGGATGCTGAGGTCTTCCTCAGTTCAATGCTGCAGCAGCAGCAGCAGCAGCAGCAAGTGGTGCTGCTGCTGCTGCTGCTGCTGCTGCTGCTGCTGCATGCGGTCAATGCAGCGCTCTGGGTGCTTGGGGCTTCTTCAAAGCAATGCGGCTGCTGCAGCAACAGCAGCAGCAACTGCAGCGGCAACTGCAGCAGCAACAGCAACAACAACAGCAGCAGCAACTGCAGCAGCAACTGCAGCAGCAACAGCAACAGCAACAGCAGCAGCAACTGCAGCAGTAACTGCAGCAGCAGCAGCTGGTTATCAATGAAGCGCGTAGCGCCTTTTCAGAGTACAGCAGCAGCAGCAGCTGCTGCTGCTGCTGCTGCTGTTGCTGCTGCTGCTGCTGCTGCTGTTGCTGCTGGTGCTGGTGCTGCTGGCGCTGCTGCTGCATGCTGTCAATGCTGCGCTGTGGATGCTTAGCGCTCCGTCGCAGTAAAGCAGCAGCAGCAGCAGCAGCAGCAACAGCAACAACTGCAACAGCAGCAGCACCAACAGCAACAGAAACAACAGCAGCAACAGCAGCAGCAAGAACGACAGCGCAAGACTGCAGGCGGAGACAGCAGCACATCCAGCAGCAGCAGCAGCAGCGGCAGCAGCAGCA